TGCTCAATCCCTCCACCCCCAGCCCCGGCCAACCCCCTCCCAGCTGTCAGCCTGCTCTCTCTCTCTATCTATGAGTTTGTGTTACATGTACTAACTCGTTTAATACTCATAAGTAGGTATCATTGGTCTCATTTTACAGAAGAGGAAACTGAAATACAAAAAACTGAACTAACTAATCCAAGATGACACAGTTAGAAAATGGGAGACTCAAAATCTGAATGCTGGCAGCCTGGTTTTAGTCTCTGGACTCAGAGCCAGTATGAGGGCTGTTTTATTTTATTAAGAGGAGTATTTTATTTTCGGGCTATGAGGATATAAATGTGATTAGATACAATTGTGTTACAGTAAAGTAGACTTTGAACAATTTCTCTCAGGATTGGGGGTGTGTGTGGTGTAACTTGGTGCAGAAAGATTGCTACAAATGAACTCTGTAATGACAACTGGGCTGTCACTGGGAAAAGACAGTAAATTTGTGCACAAATCTGTAGTGATGGGACAATGAATATATATCCTGCACCTCTCACTGAAAACAAAGTACAGTATCGAAATCTCTACCTTTTAGCAACTGAGGACGCTAAATAGGAAAGTAGAGACATTGAATATATGGGTTGGATCGCCATCTTTTTAGAGTGTTGTGGAAATGGAAATTAATTATAATTGGCAGTCACTAACCTCAGGGAACTAAGTTAACATTTTCATTTCTTAGAAAGAATGTTATATATGGAGACTTCTTAGCAGAGGCTTTTGATAACCTGCTCAAAACTACTCTAAGCTCCATATTTTATAGGGATGATTTATTAATTGTACTTATTTTCTGTACTTTTCAACTGTATAAGGCCACATGAATTCAACTAGAATCACTTCAAAATATCTGGAAATTAAATCTGTTATTAATTCCAAAACATCACTATTAAATGGTTTAAAAATCTATTTAGGCATCTTTTCATTCCTTAACATATTTTTTTAATGAAGGAAAAATTAATTGAACTGACTATATTACAAATAATGATGATTAGATTGTGAAAAAAAAGATCGGTTTACTTTCAGGAACTTTAGCCCTAGCTATTAATATACTAACAGTGTTTCTCTGGCCAACACTGCTTTTAAAATATTTTTTAGTCAAGTGCTAAAACACATAAGGAGTTGGTTATATAGCATTGGAAATTAGCCTGCCATACAAAATCACAGTTACAGATCATTTTGTTAAGTGTCTAATATTTGCATTGCTGTTTCTTTAATTTCTTCATATTTATATATGAAACATTTTAAACATTTCATATTTATATATGAAACATTTTGTATCCCAACCATAATTTGCTCTTAACCATAGCTTTCCAGGCTATTTTGTTTGAGTTATATGTGTAATTGTGACATTCCTCACCCATGCTCTGTTTCATCTTGACCTTTAAGTATAAATTGAAACGCACATAAATGTACTTTTTTCCAGTTGACAATATATTAGTAACAAAATATTCAGGTAGGACTATTTCAGATGAATTCCATTTATATTACCAACATCTCATTGAATGGTAGGCAGGCCTTTTTAAATTATGAAAAGGAATAATTGTAATATAAAAAAATCTATATAACTTTGTAGCCTCATGCTTTACTGTCTCCAGGGAAAAGCATGGACCTTGAATCCAAAGAAACCTGGTTCCTTTCCTTCCTGTACCACGTACACCCTAGCTATGAAACCTTGGGCAGCTATTTAAATTCTGGGAGGAAGCCTCAGGTTTTTCACCTAAAAAAAGGCAATGATAAAATCTATGATCTAGGTTGGATGAAAGGAATTGTGTGATCACATATATACATGCTTAGCATTAGCACATGATAAGTACTTTATAAAAGGTGACTATTTTAATTACTGACATTTCAGTCATTGAGGTAAGGCTTCACCTATTTCATTTCTACTCTTTACCACAAACTTGCAAAAGTGACTGATATTACAGATGAGAAAAACTGAAGTTTCATCTTAATATCGTAAGTGGAAAGTTGAGATTGGAACCCTGTTGACTGCAATATGCTTCTCTACCTTCCATATATTTCTTATTATAACATCCCTACAATCCAGTGATGAGGCTGTTTTATCTTACCCACAGTGAACTAACTCAGAAAAAGTATGAAATGCATTAGGTAGGTAATAGCGGCAGGACCAGACCCCCAGGCTCTTGGTTCACTGCTCTTTCTCACAGTAATTACCCTGAGTTTATGAATCTACAAATAAAAATTATCTAAATTTCAAGGCCCCTGAAGGTAAGGATGAGGTGACATGACATGACAAAAGAATTATGTTTTTATTTGATAATGAATAGAATTGGGGGGATTGTTAAAAATTATGTTGGAAAATGAAAGCATAATTGCTTGAGTCGATTTCTGGGTTCTCTGTTCTGTTCAGTCAGAGAAAGACAAGTACCACATGATCTCGTTCATATGTGGAGTATAATAAATAAAATAAACTGATGAACAAAATAGATCCAGAGACATGAGACAGACTGAGGGATCTCAGCAGGGATGGGGGAATGGGTGGGGAGAGATTAATCAAGGAATTTATATGTTTATATGCATAACCTATAGACACAGACATTGGTATAGGGAAGGCCTGGGGGTGGAGTGGATTTGGGGTGGAAGGGATTAATAGGGAGGAAGAGGGGAACATCTGTAATACTGTCAACAATAAAGGTAAATTTAAAATAATAATAAAATAAATAAATTAAAAACTATAAAAGTACCCTAAAAAAACAAAAAAATGCTTCAACTTGTCCTCCTTATGGAATTAAGTAATATATTCTCTATTCTGGGATTATTCTTACTTTATATGTTAATAAATATAGTTGTAAGGAAAAAAATTTGGGACAAAATGGAGTTGAAAGAGTATTTCCAACTTTAGTTGGTTTTTAGAAAAAAAAGATACAGTAATATCAGCTGGAACATGAATGTTTTATTGAATTTATTTATTTTTAATATATTTTATTATAAGCTTCTTAGTTCAAATTAATTTCAATAGTAATATAAAGTGAAAATTTGAACAGTAATCACATATATTCTTCATGCTATTTTATATAATCTCACAACAGTGTTTAAATTGGCTGTTAGGCCTCTCCTTTTCTTCAGCATGTTTTAGTAATCAGGAAAACCCACAAAAACTGGTTTATTCCAACACCACTTTTTAAGCACACTATTTAAAGTTTACAGTTGGCAACCAATAAAAAGAAGATGTACTTAAAATCCAAACTTGAATGTTCATTGTATCCAATAGCCTTGACCACAAACAACTCCAGGATTTCAAGATCAGCACATGGTCTGTACTTTCAATCAACATCATCAGCAGGCAGTAATCCTGGGGAAAAAAAGTAAATTCCACAAATAAACAGACCAATCTTCTTTAAGAGGAAAGCTAATTCTTTTCAATCTACTTTTTTTATTACACCATTTTCCCCTCTATCTACTTAAGCTAGTATAAGGATAAATTTCCAAAGCTACCCTGTTGGAAAATAAATAGGTTCACTGTTTGTCTAGCATTCCAATCTTTGCAAATGTAAATCAGTCCAACTGCTCCTCATTTAAACTTTCAACTTCGCAAAACATTAGAGGGTGGCTTTTGCTGCACAGTTTAATCTACCCACTAAGATTTCTGCTTGAACATCATTGGAAATTGACTATCTGGTAAAGAGAGACCACTATCAGAGGTCGGTGAGGTCAACGTCTATAATTACAAGTAGTTTTACTGAGTCAACTCTACCAGACACTGCTGTTTGAAGGTTAAATTGTTACAATTAAAAATATATACAGATCTCCCCAGAGTTACTTTATTGTTAAATGTACCGGAAAGAGCACAAGCATTTATTTCTGACCTTAATTGTATCCAAAGTGTCACCATGGGGAAATTATATAAAAAGAGCACTTATTTTGTTTTATCAAATGAAATAATAATTAGCTCCTGGGCACTAGTTTATTTATCACATCAATTTTAAGAAGTTTGTTCAGGTTATGCCCTTTGGTTTAATTGAAAGTGCTCTGAGAAATGACATTTACTGTTTTATAGTTGATGAACTTTCCACAAACAAAGGACTATATGGCCCAGCATCAGAGTCTGGGGCTAAAACAGCTTTCACTTCAGAGTGATCACTTCCGAATTACTAGAATTTAATCACATTTTCGTAACAAGGAGTAAAAGAAAGCTTTAAATGGAATGCTTTAAAATGGGCTATTTTCTAATTGTTTGATTTGTTTTTTGCCTCTTTTTTTTTTTTTTTTTTTTTTAAA